GGGGAGCGGTGTGTGATGCAAGTAGGGACTCCATTTAATAATTACTTTAGGAGTTAGCCTACATATACATATAAATATCTAAAATTTCCTGAGTAACTATTTTACTTAATTTCATCAGAAGCATCTAATTTCCCCCCCCCCCCCCCCACGGACCCAAACACTACTCCCAACCACCAGATGTGAGAAACGCTCCTAGAGTCAAACTGATCTGACCCAACCTGGACCTGAACACCAACCCCCTTCCCAGTTCTCATGGACACAACCTGACATACAGGTCCTGGCTAAACTTGATATCACCTCCAACCAGAATGGACCAGAGCTGATGCTGCTATGAAATGAGATCTGATTAATAGTAGTTGAGGATCAGGAGGTAACGATCACCACATAGTCAAATTTCAAATTCCGTTTGTGATAGAGCAACTCATGTCTTAAACCAGTGTCCTTGATTTAAATAAAAGCAATTACAAAGGTGTGAAGAAAGATGTGTCTAAAGTGGGCTGTAAAAATGGAGCAAGGGGAATGTCAGTGTATGAGCATTGGCAGACATTTAAGCCTGATATTTCATAGTGTTCAGCAAAGTTGTAAAGAGAGACTCGATAAGGAGGGTGAACTACCCGTGGTCAAGGAGAGTATTCAATCCAATAGCAAAACAAACAAATGGTGAAAACTAGTGGCAGGCAGGAATTTTTCAGGACTGGCAGCAGATGAATAAAGCCCTAATAAAGAGGCAGCAATTTGATTATGAAAGTAAATTGACAAAAAATATAGAATGAAACAGCAAGAATCTATACTGGTGTATATATAGCAAATGTGGTTAAAGTAAGTTTTGGCCCTTTTGAAGATATAACTGGAGAATTGATAACAGGGTGCAGAGAAATGACAGGTAATTTAAACCAATGTTATGCATCACGTCATGTTGGAAGACACAATAAACATCCCACAGATAATGTTTAAGTAAGGTGTTAATAGATGGAGAGATTGTCTAAAAGTTTCTGTCATGAGGGACAACTACTTAACAACTCCTGAGACCAAAGAAGACAAGCTACCAGGACCTGATGGCCTGCATCCAAGGGTTTTCAAGGTCCTGGCTGCAGAGATAGCACAGGTATTTGTTGAAATATTCTAAACCTTGCTAGGATTCCAGTGGGCTGGAAAACAGTCAATGTAACATCTCAGTTCAAAACTGGAGAGAGATATAAAGTAGGAATAGCAGGGCATTTAGAAAAACGATGCAAACAGAATGAACATAGTTTTGTAAAAAGCAAATTGTGTTTGACAAATTTGCTAAAGATTTTTGAGGATATAACACGTAGAGTGGATAAAGGGGAACTGGTAGATGTAGAGCATTTGGATTTCCAGAGGCAGCAATAAGGTAACATACAAAATAAACTTATCTGACTTTGCCACAAATTTCATCAATCCCCACATCTCTCAGACCCCGAATAAGAATCTAAACTTTGTTGCACATTTCCTTCTATACCCATAGGCTTAAATTCCAAATAACTCAACATCTTTTGATTATGAAGGTATTTTCTCTGGTTTGCATAAGGATTGAAATTTCTTGTGCCTCCCATTATGTTTGACAAGGTTCTCCCTACGAAGCTCCTACAATTGTTCCACAGTTGTAGACTCCCTTTTCAACACAGGCATTACTTGCGTCTTAAGCATAGCCATATCAGAACTCATTTGGTTCTGTTATTCGTTTTAATTCTGCAATTTTACATCTAAAATTCTATCCTGAGTTTGGTTTGGCTCTGCCAAAAGTGCAACTTTCAGTAAGGAGCCCTTTAGTTAACAAGGAATTTAACGTTTTCGAGCTAAAGTAAAAGATTTCAACTGAATCCTTCTTAAAAGAGCTGTTTCCTTCACTTTGGCTTGCCTAAAGTCTGTAAAACTCCCAAAAAACTGAAAAAAACTCCATTTGAATCAGAACCACAGCCATAACAATATAATTAGAAGTGACCTTGCTGTTCTGTTGTTTATCTTTAAGATAAATTGATCACGATCAAGGATCACATAACCTTCTGAGAGAAAATTAATTTCCTCATCTCTGTTCTAAAAGTGTGACCTGGAATTTTCAAACAAGCTCCTCCAGCTCTGGATTGATCTACAAGAGGAAACATGCTCTCTGTATCCATCTTCTTAAGAACTTTTAGGATCTTGTACATTTCAATCAAGTCACTCCTACTCTTCTAAACTCCAGTGGAAATAAACCCAGCCTATTTTCAACTGTTAACACACTCATTCCAGGTTACAACCTATTTAAAAAAAGACTGGGTGTTTCTATCAATATAAGTGTTGGGCAGAATGGGTGATAGCTTATGAAGAAACAGCACTTAATCTATTTATCTCCAGGTTTTGGTCTATTTCAATGAGGAGAATATTGTATTTTCAGCAACTGCGTTTTTAACTAAGGCTTTAAAGAGAGATTAAAATTCAAGATCAAGTCACCAGAGTAGATCTATTGCTAAAAGCAACACTGGTCAGGAAAGTACAACAAATTTTCGTACAGAAAATTGAAACTAAGAAGACCTTAATACAAGCACCCGTTTATTTCTTCTATCTCCCTTCTGTGAGAAGTGAAAGTAACAAAGGAATTTTGGACGCATGTTCTGAACAATAATCCTGCAAATGCTAAACTGAAAATGTGGAAAGCAAAACTTAAATGTTCTTTTATATGTTTCCCTCCACCCCCTGAGACTTAATCATGTCAGCAATTTGAGACCAAAGAAACACAAACCTAAGGCTGAGAACTAAGTCTCTTCCAAGCACCATAAAATTAAACTCCAGGCATGGAAATGAGACTAAAATAATTTGTAGCACTAAAATGGCACTAGTATGCATGAACATCGCTCAATTTATGTACAAAATAAGTTTTAAAATAATCCCTGTGTATTTAGGGCTTATGTAAGGTAAATAATGTGGCTTGTTGATTTTTGTAAGGAAATGACTTAGCATTCAATTATAGGTGGGTTACTGAGCTACGTGAAAGAAAAAAAAAACACTGAATGACACTGATTCTCCATTCTAAGAGAAAACAAACTTTTGCAAGAACAGGTTAATTGTTAAGTATTTCAATTGTACCCAAGACAGTGATGCAAGGGTATGGGGCACAGGGCATTAGTGCTAACAGTAATGAAAGGCAAGTGATCTTACAGGAAACATTAAAATAAAATAACTCACTATTTATAATTCAGTTTAATTCTATGTAAAATCTCATCTATACCATTCCAGAGCAGATGATATTAGAGCTTTGTAGCAAATCGGCCAAATAGCATGCCATAATTTCCTTTCACTTCATATATCAACATACTTGTCTGGTATGTGGGAGGTAGGTGCGGGCTTCAGCTAGGGTGATGGGGTTAGATGCTCAGTGCTCTTTTCGGTGCAGTGTAGAAAGACTCCCTTGTATGTGTCAGAAGCAAGAATCTCCCAGAACACTTTTTTTTAAACTTCCTTGACCACACAAGACATCAGATAGTTTCAGTCTCGGAAACAAAATGGCTCAGTGCAGACGTTGGAACCTGCTTCCATGGACAATTTTAGGGACCACCATTCTGATAACGCTACCAGGTAGGCTTACTATTCCATTTCTGATGTATTGAATTATCTGGGTGATATAACTTTTGTCATGGAATTGCTACCTTCAATTCTCTTTTTGTATTTGTGCATTGATCAATATTCCGATAGTCTCTGCTCTAATATGTAATTATTTATGTATACATGTGATCATAGTATGTGCTTCACCTGATGCAGAAAATTATATAAAAAAGTGCGAAAATAAAAGTCTTTTCCAGGCAGTACGTTGCTCTACTACATACACCTCAACTCCAGAGATTGCGCTCAGTGCTAGTGGCTTTCCAACAGCAGGGTTTTGGGCTGGGTGCACATTTGTAGCTGCTCATACACATAAGCAGTTATTAATTGCAAAGCTATAAATCTTATACTCACCTCTTTTAAAATTCTTTAGCAATTCACATTGAGACATTTCAATCTTTAATAGGTTGACAAGTTCCTTTAAGTTCAGCATTTGTGAAAGGTATCATTGTAGGGGAATGAACTGGATAGCTTTAAACAAAATCTGCATGAGAAAATTGCTCACATCTCTCAATACCGTAGATGCTTTGAAGATTTATTTGATATTTTTTAGTACCTTTTCAAAAAATGTGATATCGCTTTTCTGTAGAGCATAGTCAAATGAATTCAAAAGATTAAGCAGAGATACAAACTTAAATACAGACCTGAATCAGTGCTGAAGAAATGTTTTGCCAGTTTCATTGCCATTTGGAAATGTTTCAAACTCTCCTGAATTAAACTTTCTCAGTCAAGCATTTAAAGCCCAGGGAATGATGGCCAAATAGGAACTGAATACAGCTTTAATATAATCATGAATGATTAGCTGCTACAGAAAACCACAAAGAAGGAAAGTAATGAAGACTGAAGCTGGAGTGATAAACACTTGTTTTATATGGGAGAAATTCATTAGTTATGATTCCTCAAGTCTATTGCTCTGACATACAATTAAAAGGAGTAAAACAAATCTAAATTTTCACTTCTTAAAATAGATGCGCCCTCCTTGTGTGTGAACAATGCATGCAATATAGTTTGTCATTGCTGATATTTTTTGAAACTTAACCTCTGGATTGACACAACTTTATTTTAGGTGGAACTGGAAATCACACAGCTCATGTCTTCACATGACATATTCAATGCTTAACAGCATTTGCTCTGCCCTGGCCTGTTAATATTGAATGTGCATTGCCTGTCAAATTCTGAATTGTTAACAATGTGGCAAGGTGGGAAGAAGCAGTATATAGAATCTTCGAACAGAATAATGCACAAAATGGAAGTAATTGTGCCCGTGTTGTCCTTGCCATGCTTTTTAGGAGCTATCCCTTAGTTCCATACTGTCTTTGAATGAGATGTAAAAGAGTTTTTACCTGTACTAAGTCATAGCTGCAACTGAAGAATCTTTCTAGCCCTGCAAAATTAATTTTATATTTACAGAAAGTCATATTTCTTCATTCAACACTAACAATTCCTTGGATGTTTAGAATTTCTATTATAGTTGTTTTGCAATATTTCAGCTTCTACTTTAATCATGTGTGTATGTCACAAGGTTTTTTCCCCCTCCTGTAACAGCGTAAACAGTAAACAAATAAAGCTGTTTGTTATTTCCTGGATTCTGTCTGAGAATTATTCAGATGATTGCCTGTTTAGCTTGCTTAGTGATGTCAATATGGCAGGAAACCAGAGATTCACCATGGTTGATGCCAGAAAGAAATTAATAACAGTAAGGATAAAATCCTTGACACAGAGTTCACCTTTGTGGGAAGTTTTCGACATCTTTACTTCACCACTGCTCAGAAAATGTAGGCCCATTATGATCACTGTTTTCCAAATGCTCCCTACTAACGCAGTCTCCATCTGTCTCATTTTATTTGCAAGAAGTGGATCCAGTACTATTTCCTTTCTTAATTGACTACAAACCGATCAGAAAAGTATTTTTATGTTCCTCCCGCCATGCTATTTATACTGCTAGCAGCCGGTAGGCATTTACACATATGCACATTAACCCTTCCTAGTCTGTCTCATATTTTGCACCTCCCTCTGATAATCCCTCTGATTTTGTCCTATTGCTATATATCTCTCCCAGCCCCCTTGGAGTTTCATCTCCTCTCTAAAGCTTTATCAGAGGTACTCCTTCCCCATTAAATTTCAACTCCAGGGGAGGAGAGAAGAATTATTCTAGTATTGAAGGTACTGGGGATGTTATATAATGTCCTACGTAATAGATACGATGAATCAAAATTTTATAAAAGTATAATTGAAAATTACAAACTTAGTTTGGTGGTGGATATAGTTAACATTCGTGATAATAACATTAGGATTTTTTATTAACTGAACAAAGAATTAACATCAGCAGAAAATCAAGAAGTACAAGAAATTGTGTTGGAAGGACGCACATTCTAGTTGCAAGCTAGCAACGTTCTTCAGAATATATAGAGATCAATGGGAAATGATAAACTGGCTACAAACTGCTGTATTCTTGAGTACTAAAATTGATTTGCAGCATTGATATTTTTTGTGCCTTTTAACATCCCAGCACATATCTGAATCTCGGAAAAAATATTCCTGGGTGAGAGAGCGTTTGTTAGAAAGATTTAAAAAAAAAAGCAACATTTGAAGTCATTTTCAATTTTAAGTTCTCTCGGGAGCTTTTTACACTTATTACACACTTTTTACACTTATTTCTCTGCCTTACAACACGGATGTGAGGGGTATGATGCAACTCTTCCCTTTTCCAGTGTTTTTGAGAGCAGAAATAGTTACTTGAATGGTGCTTTTTTAATTCATGACTATGTCAGCTGAAAAACAAGTCCACATCTATCCATTTAGGCAGAATGTAAGAATTCTACTTCGGGTCTTTGAATAATTGAAGGGCGGTGGCATGCCATCCACAAGTTGCCTCCAGGCAATTTCAAACAATTTTAATTATTTTACTTTCAAGACAAAGTGTTATAATTTTGTTTTATTCATTCAAGGGATAAGGGCGTCACTGGTCCATCCCTAGTTGCCCTTGAGAAAGTGGTGGAGAGCTGCCTTCTTGAACTGTTGCAGTCTATTTGGTGTAGGTAGATCCACAGTGCTGTTCAGGAGAGAGTTCCAGGATTTTGTCCCAGCCATTCAATGCTACATCTTAATGCAGGCAGCTGGAAGATTTTTGAAGAGCTGATATCGCCAATGATTTTGGAATTGGATGTTTTTCACTGTAAATGTTCTGTTTCTCTTGCACTGTTCTTGCGCATTATGAGAATCAATATTAGAAAACTGTATTAGCCCCAGTAGCAGGTTGATTTGCCAGTACCTGCACATCAACAGTTTGAAAATTTAGTGCATCATATCTGTAACAAAGATCCATAGAATGTTACAGTATAGGAGGCCATTCAACCCATCGTGTCCATACAGACCCCCAAAACAGCTACCCAGCTAACCCCATTCACCAGCCCTTTCTCTGCAGCCCTCTAAATTAATCACTTTCAAATATATATCCAGTTCTCTTCTGAAACCTCCTTCAGAATCTGCCTCCACCATTCTCCCAGGCAACACACCCTAAATCTTAACAACTCTCTGAGTAAAGAAGCTTTTTCTCATCTCACCTCTAGCTCTCTTGTTGACCATCTTGAAATTGTGACCCCCAGTTACTGACATACCAACAGGTGGAAACAAAATATCTTTCTCTATCTTGTCAAAATTGTTCGTAATTTTGAACACCTCAGTAAGGGCCCCTATTAATCTTCTCTGCTCCAAGGAAAATAAGCCCAATTTTTCTAAACTTTCCTGGTGTCTAAAATCCTTCATTACTGGTTCCATTCATCGATAAAACAACCAATGCTCTGTACTTGAAAATTAGATGGAATTACCTGTTGGTTGGTCTGGGAAGGCTGGGGCTGAGGGTTGGGGAAGGGGAACGTTTGAGTGGAATATTGGGCCAATGAGAGGAGAAATAAACTATAATTAGGCAAAGACTTTTTTCAAGGCAAAGTGCTAGACTTTAACCACTGCTCCCATTTTTATCTCAGCTAGGAGGTGCTGCAATGGAGAATCTTTGCTCCAGAACCACTGGAAGCATAGAAGATGTGGACTCGATGGAGTGTTTAGTTCTGAAGTCTATTTGCCTTTTAATTGTCACATTCTTGAGCTATGTAAGACTTCTCTTTGATAGAGTTTCCATGTATCTTTCCTCTGGTATTCTGCTGTAATCATTTATACTTCTCCATTCCCTCTAGATCTGTGATAACTTCCTTTTGCCTTGCACAATTATCACTTTTGTCATTTAATCGTGACTCCCTTCTACCCTATCACAGAATATTGCTGGTTTCCCTCTCTTTGCAGTTTCTGAATTGCTTCCAGCATTTTCTGATTTTATTTCACTTTTGTTCTATATTGGTTAATTTTCTTATTGACCTGGACTTGCTTAAAAGCTGTACTTTTCTAACATCTTCCAAATATAATGTAAAACCATCGAGCTGAAATGTTTACTCTGTTTCTCTCTCCACAGATGCTGCCTGACTTGCACCACCTTTTGTTTTCATTCCAGATTTGCAGCTGTTTACTTTTGTTACAGGTTCATCTGTTGCTTAGTTTTTGTAGTAAATTGAATTTACTGGCGTGAACCTTTTGCAGGTTGAAATAGTATTTCCGTATGAAAGTACGTACAAGTCTTTTTCTTAGATATTCAAAACTAATCATGAATAAAACAGTAACAAATGGTTTCATATAGATTGTATTATTACGCTACTTTCAGGCCTGGTGAAATAGTTTCGGGGACACATTAAAGCAAAAGCCGTAGTCAACCTCTCAATCCTGATCCTGACCTGATGCCTGAAAATGTGCAGATCAAGCAGCATCTGAGGCTGCTGTGAGTTTGCACCAGATGCATAGAAATTTCATCCCAAGTTGAGGCCACCTAGGTGCCCGACATTATGTTTGACTTTTTAAACTTTTATGGAATATTTTAATGTTATGAGAAAATTGAATCTCGCTCCTTGCTTCCCTGAATTGAAGTATTA